ACATCAACGACAAATTATGGACAGTAGAACTTTTCAACTGTAGGACTTCTCAAAGTGAGACTTGGTCACTCCAATGATGTCACTTCATCTTCATTCATCTTTTCAATGAACAGTTCACTACTATTTAATTTTGATGTAGTTAATTGTTTTATTTCATTCGTTTGTTCGTTCGTCCTCCAAACAAAAAAATTTATTCACTAATGTAAAGTAACATGACTGTTTTTGCACAGCAAGCAGATTATTGGATAATTTAAAGGGGTGGTTGATTGCGTTTTCACTTTTTTAACGTTAGTTAGTGTGTAATGTTGCTGTTTGAGCATTAACAATATCTACAAAGTTGTGGCTACAAAGTTGCGCTTGAAAGTTCAATGCAAACGGAGATATTGTCTTTTAAAATTCTGGCAGTTTAATGCCTACAAAATGGCTGGTAGGGACTACAACAAGTTACTTCCCAGGTTCGTGACATCACAAACCCAGACAAACTCCGCCCCCAGGAACATGCAACAAAGGGGGCGAGGCAATGCTGCGCTGCTTTAGAGAGGAGGAAGAAAACTAGGGGTGCACGTAAAAATCTATTCATATATGAATCGTGATTCTGTCTTCTAACGATTCTAATAGATTCACAAGTTTCAAAATCAATGTTCTAAAGCAGCGGTTCTCAATCCTGTTCCTCGCGCCACCCTGCTCTGCACACGCTCTGCATCTCTCTCTCTCTCTTATCTCTCATTCGGATCACCAGCTCGGCTCGGTTCCATTTATACACTTATTTTCACATAGCTATGAGAAGAGTTAAACATGGACGCGCGTGCGGTTGCCGTACTGTATTACAGCTTTAATCAGGATAAAACCGTATATTAAAAGCTAACAGAAGCAGTAGCATTTACAAATAACAGAGTATCTAAAAGTACAACAACAAACAAAAACATACCATTAAGAGCCGTGCTTCCACAGACTCTGCGCGATCCTCTTAGTCTCAATCGGGCTCAAATTGATAAGCAATATAGACGACGCCATTGTTTACAATACAACCGGAGCACATGCCGCTGAGGTGAGAGGCGGGACGTTTAGACGCGCATTAGAGGCGGTTTAGCCAATCACAACACACTGGACTAGCTAACCAATCAGAGCCCATTACGTATTTCTGAGGGAGGGGCTTCATAAAAGCAGGAAATGATCAGCACGTTTATAGGAGAAGGGACAGAGCGGTGTGGAATAAAGGTAAATTATGTGAAAAATAATGCGTTTTTTTTTTTTTTAAACGAAGCATTAACACATGTTAGACAGCACCCCATAAACACAATCAAGCCTAGAAAAAAAACAGTCAACCACCCCTTTAAAACAGATTTTTTTAAACCCAAGGCATAAAGAAAGTTTTAGGCCTAATAAAAGATGAATGTAACAAAATTTCTACAAAACAAGCAGATTTTGGGGGGAAAAACTGAAGATACAGTTGACATTCATGACATTCTGATGTCTAGGTCTCTCGTTCAGTGTAAGTCTAAGGGATTTGTTGCCCATGTTTTCACCTGCTAGGTGAAAATCTGTAGTATGAAAGTACCAGCACAACAGCTGCTAGATTTCATTCATGTCTGGTATGGGACAAGTTGCACAGCAAAGTTTAATACTCAGCGTCATGAGTTTGTTTAAATCACTAACTCTTAGTATGAGAAACTGCAGTGATGTTTGTCTTCGCAACCACAGCTAATGAGTAATATTGTATTTTTAATCTCTGAAGGTTCATTTATGCGCTTTGGTTAAGAATGCAGCGTGGCGGTTGTTTTGACATTGGACTGCCGCTATCCAGGAGGAATCTTCCAGAAGCAGGAGGTATGTGAGATAAATGTGAAGTAAAAAGGCTGTGATTTATGATGTGATCTGAAGACCTACGCTGGGAGACTGCGGCAGATCGTCATGAGATTTTGGATCAACCGGAGGAGGCCACAAACTGTCAGTCATACTGAAGAGCGGAGAACATCTGCAAAGAGAAGAAGAGAGAGGAAAATAAATAAGGTTTCAGTCTCTGATTGTTCAAATTCAGGGGTCCTTCCAGAAACACGGGAGCCGAAGGTGGAGTGTTTACAATGTCAGTCTCAATAGCTTCGGTTGGACTGACGTGCTGCCAAGTTGAGCTGCTGTTGGAGCTGAACAGTGTCTGCTGACAAGTACGAGATCAGTTTCACTAGCAGGCTGAGGCTTGTTCACACACACACACACACACACACACACACAGAGGTAAATAATCTGTCATTAAAACATTCAAGAATTAAATTATCGCTATTGAAAATGCTGATAATTTAATATTTGGCAGGCCAAGTGTTATTTTAACACTCCAATTCCGAGTTTATGCTGCTAACAAAACAACTCAGACGGACTGACATTCAGACAAAAGGACAGAGATCAGCTCCGTCTGTGTTTGATTTAATAGATTGACAGATAAACACTCCCACATTATGGCAATTAGAACGGATATGGCGTAAATAGGTACCAGGGATATTATCGTTAACTAAAACTTAAACTATTAAAAACTTTTTGTTAACTGAAATAAAGCTGAAATAAAATAAATTAAAAATGTTAGATAAAAAACTGAACGAAATTTAGTAACTGGAAATAAAAACTAAAACTGAACTTAAAACTGAAATAAAAATAAACATAACCTAAATAGTTATAATAATAATTCAAAATAATAAAAATTACAAAAGCACATAGCAAAATTACTAAATATTAAGCTTAAATTAAAAAGAAAGCTGAAAATATAAAAAGAAAAGCTAATGCAAAATATTAATAAAAACTAAATAGTATAATATTTGAAAAAAGGAATAAAAATGGCAAAAACACATAAACATAGTAAAATTTAAGCTACAATTAAAAAAGAAATTTGAAAATGTAAAAAAAATAACACTAATTTATAATATTATTAAAATAGATTAATTTAAATAGTAATATTTTAAAAAAGTAATAAAAATGGCAAAAGCACCAAAAAATTACTATTAATAACGTTAGTAAAAATGACTAACGTTAAACTAAAATTAAAAAGAAAGATATATATATATATATATATATATATATACACACACATATAAGAATGCTAATTCAAAATACTGAAAAAAGCTATAATAATACTATAATAACTATAATAAAACTATAATAGTATATACTGGTGTAGGGTACTCGAGTTGCTTTATGGCTGTTTGGAGATCATCAGAAGTTCTTGATTTTTCATTATAGATCAAATTCAGTTTCTGGACTCTTAAAAGCTCTAATACATAGATGGATTTCCAGAACGCGAGAATAAAATGTTCTTAGTGGAGCTTAAATAGCATTCTTGAGCCCTGTGTGTGCCTCAGTGCAGCATGATCTGTTCACTCACAACCAGTTCCACAGCTGTCTTAATCACAGTCTAGCTCTCTTTCCCCCTCACCTCTTCCTGTGACCCGCTCAACCGCCCTATCCAGTCCAGCGGGACGAGCCCTCGCTGAAAACACTCAACATACTGAGAGAATCAGACTCAAATTAAGCCATATATCTTATGTCTTGCAGTACAGACAGTCATATTGTTCATTTCTGGAGAAAGTTGTCTATTCCTGAGCATTAACTCCAAAAAACTCATCTTTTCTAGTATTTTGTTTTTACATTTACGTATCAGCAAACACTTTTATCCAAAGCACACTTTATCCAAAGAGCCAACAATGCCAGGTTTATTAGACAACTATTAAAAAGTTTTTTTTTTTTGAAAAAGCATTCAGAATTAGAAAAAGAACAATATGAAACAGAGAAGATGAGCTAGATTACTGTAATAATTGTGTGATGCGGAGCCTTTTTCTTATGTATAACTGATCCACACGTGCAAAATCATTTATTTAAGGTGTAGTTAAGATGTATATTTAAATATTAAATTAAACAAATGGACTGCAACTAAGTTTAACTAAATTTACTAACTGGTAATAAATAAAAACTAAACGTGAACTAAAACTAAAACTAAAATAAATTAAACCAAAATAGTTATATTTAAAATCTAACAAAACTGATGAAGTTTAAAATGACAAAAAATTTAACTAAAATTATTATACTAAACATAAAATAAAATAAAATGTAATAAACATGAATAAAACTATAATAACATATAAATGATAATAAAATAACACAAGTTCCAAATGAGTTACAACCACGGAAGACAAAAGGAGATATTAGTCAGAAAGTTCAGGCTGCTATTCCATACAATGAAAGTGGAAATTGGGGACTGTGACTATTATGCTCAAAAAAATAAAAAAGCATGATAAAAGCAGTCCAAATGACTTGTGCACTAAATTTCAAGTGCTCTACAACCATTCACTAGGGTTATGTGAGGAAAAGACTAGAATTTAAGATGTTATTTACTGAAAATCTTCCCCTTCACTGTTAACATTTGGGAATATTATCAGCAAATAATATAACTATTTAAAATAAAAAATTTTCTTCACATAAAGCAATCATATGGCTTTAGAGGACATGTTTTATGTTCTTAGTGTCTTTTTGGAGCTTGACAGTCCCAGTCCCCATTCACTTTCATTCTATGGAAAAGAGTAGCATAAACATTCTGCTAGACATCTCTTTTTGAGTTCCATTGAAATAAAACACAAAGTTTTGAAATACATAAGGGCAAGTAAATGATGACAGAATTTCCTTAAAGGTGGGGTAAGCGATTTTTCAAAAACGCTTTAGAAAACTGATTTGGGTCGACTAGCAAAACAAACTTGGAGCCAATCAGCAGTAAGGGGCGTGTCTACTCATGATGTGGAGGAGAGAGCGTTCAGTGCACAGCACAGGATGGAAATTAGCCAAGCTGAGCGACAGAAAGATAGAGATGGTGGATAAAAAACAAAAGAGGAAAACGTCTGCGGAACAAAAGAAGGCTTAAGGCAAGAAGTAGGACCCGTGTAAATATCGGATCAGCTTTCCAGCGCTGGAGAGAACTCAAGGAGCAGAAGGCCTGTGATCGGACGCCGAGGTTGCTTTGTTTCTTCTCGATAGGTGAGTAACACCGTGTCTGCGCCGCAACAGCTAAAGTCTGTCTAGTACACTAGACGCAACAAAACAACTGTTGAAAATCATTTGAAATTTCTGTCAATATATCATGAATAGAAAGCAGCAGCAGTTTTCTGTCGGGGATTTGTCGTGCCGCCCCGCATCCAGTGTAGACCATAGATATGTATATATATCTATGGTGTAGACAGCATCACTGATTACGAGTTCTATAGTATTTTGTCGCGCCGCGCCACTCTCGTCCGGTGTAGACACTGTGTAACATTGGTTTTGCTTTGTTTACTTATCGTTGCCTGGGTTGTGTATGTATGTGTTTTGGTGATTTCAAACGTCAACATTGGCTACCAGAAATCGCTTACCCCACCTTTAAG